AGGGACACTTTTGTTACTTTTTTTATTGCACCCATTTAAACTCCTCGAATCCACTCAAATTTTTGTGTGTATTCCTGGCAAGTGTGACAGAAGTAAAGAAATCTTGGACCGGTACGATCAACACACGATTTTTTGAATTTTTTTGAAAAAATTTTTTGGGTCAAAATGACCCGAGGGACGGATGATTAAGAGTGTATGGGGTCAGCTGACAATGCTTTGAGATGAATAATTTTCATAGACTGTTTCGATACTGTAGACAAATCATTTCTCCTCTCAATACTCACATACAGAGCAGAATGGAAACAGAAAGTAAAGGCACTAATAAAATATTCTCTGGTCTTGCTTGTGCTCCTTGGTTAAATTCTGCTGGACACAAAGACAAAAAAATTAAACATATTGTTAAACAATCTCATTCTAACTTCATTAAAATCATCCCAACAAACTTATATTATTAGCTTAAAAGAATCAAATATTTTTTTCACAAACCTAGTTTCACACTTTGAATTAGAAATTCATTTGTGATGTAGCATGTGTAGATTCCTGTATCACGGTGTTGAACGTTGTTAAGTTTGAGGGAGAAGTTTCCATTCAGATACTTCTCACGGATAATTTCAGTTCTGTTGTAATATGATGAATCCTGTTCTTCCAGAGATACTTTGCCCTTAATAATGTCATACACTTTCAGGGTCTCGTTGTGTCTCCAGTGCACTGTAATGTCTTCAGCTGTAAGCTGAGATTTTTATTACCCTTACTCCGCCCACTTCTGATCTGATACTGTTACTCCGCCCACTTCTGATCTGATACTGTTACTCCGCCCACTTCCGGCATCAGACTGTTAGGCTGCCGCTGTTGTCCTCGCACTGCTATGATGTATGGTTCTGCGGTTCTGCAGTTAGACCTTACTCACACACTGGGCCAGAGAATCACATTTCGTGTTTCAGAAGGAGGGGTTTCATTGAAACAGGAACTAAACATGTACAATAATCTAATGTACAATAATCAACTGCAATAATTTAAAATAGGTGAAAAATAATGGATTATTTTGGATAATCAAGCATGACAACCTATTCTAGTACACCCCAAAAACTAAATCAAGAGGCATAATAGGGCATAATAGGACCTCTTTAAATAAAAATAAGAAAAAAAAATATATATATTTTTTTTTCCACACATACCTTCGATACGTAGCTCCACAGTCTGAATTACTGAGTCATCTATGATGTAGCACTGGTACTTTCCCGTATCGCTGTACCGCAGATTTTTGAGTTTGAGTGAGAAGTTTCCTCTCAGATGCTGCTCAGAGTCACTTTCAACTCTGTTCTCGTACTCTGGATGCTGTCCTTCCACAGAGACTTTACCCTTAACAATGCCATATACTTTCAGTCTGTTATGGTGTTTCCAATTCACTGTAATGTCTTCAGATGTAAGCTGAGGTTCTTTAGAGGAGCACGGTAAAACCACAGAACCTCCGATGACACCCTTAACAGTGACCTGCAGAGACACTGAAAACAGAGAAGAAACATGTTTTTTATGCAGAAAAACTAAACAAAAACAAACAAAAAACAAACAAACTAGGTTTTATTTTTAAAAGACTTATCCTTAGTGCTAACCTTCATTTATCACCATTACCAGATGAAGTAAAACAATACAGCCCCTGTAAACACAGAAAGAATTAACTATTTAACTTATAAATTAACATTCCTGCTGTTAAACCCTTGAAGTGCATTGTTTGGTTACTGCATTACTGTAAACATGATTTTTGATTTTAAAAAGCTGGGGAAATGGGAAACATTTTTATCATTTATCTTTAACGGGTGGTCTGCAGCTCATGATAGTAGCTATTATGCAATTAGCATTTAGCCGAGGTTAGGAACTGTTTATTTCGATTTCTATTTGTGTGACTTGAAAATAATCAGACCAAATACCTGGAACCCATGACTCAAAAGGTTAAATAATAAAATAAACTGTGTTAATATTAAAGAAAAAAAAAGTCATGGGTGCTTTCAAAGCATTAATTTGTAAAGCTTCGGAACCTTTCCCAAATTAATTCCTAGTGGCAGGTTCCCGCCAAGATGGTGTACTAGATAGCAGCATTGTGAAACAGCTAGCTGAGTCTCAAAGGTTTTCTTCGTGTTTTTATACTTTTCCCTAATAGTTTTTTAACGAATTAGTTTCTCATCATCTAAAGATGGCGGGTAGAGGAAGAAAAGCTGAAGATAAGGTCGTGATCAGTAACAGAAATGATCATGATTACGCTGATACGATGGAAGTGTGTGTTGAAGCAAATAAGCGTCTCTTGGATGAATGTAGTGCTGAGAATCTACCTGTTACTCCCAGCAAAGTGCACATTACGAAGAAAGTGCGTCCTGATTATAAGGAAGACATTTCTAATGCAGATATCCTCGAGGCTATTTATATAAGTGAAACTCAATCTGGTTTTATTAAAGGAAGGTTAATACGCAACAACATTAGACTTGTCTTAGATTTAATTGATTATGGATATTTAATTAAGGATGGTGGGTTTGTTTTGTTTCTTGATTTCTATAAGGCATTCGATACTGTAGAACAAATTCATTTTACATGCATTGAAGTTTTTTGGTTTTGGTCATAAATTGTTAAATTAATAGAGATGTTGTACAAAGACATAAATAGTTCAGTATCGTTACCATTTGGGACTTCTAAGAGGTTTAACATTAATAGAGGTATTAGACAAGGGGATCCGTCAAGTCCGTATTTATTTATTTTAATAGCTGAACTGTTAGCAATTTATGTGAAAAATAGTAAAGATATCAAGCCTTTGAATGTTTTAGGGAGTCAGTTATTGATAAGTCAACTAGCAGATGATACCACCCTATTACTCTCCAGATGTAGGGCTGAATGGGAAAGTTATCAATGGCTCTGTCCACTGCGGTCAAGCCAGCTGCGGTTCAGAAAAACGCGGTTGAAATTGGTGTGCGCGCGTATTACCATTACGGTAATTCCAGGAACACACAGACAGCTCGTGCTTTCAGAGCGCTTTTCATTTAGATGCCCAGAATTGAGATATAATAAAACAAGATGACATTTCGCAATTTCTTTTTTGTACTTCTGCTTTAATATGCATGTTATTTATTGGTGTTTTTATGGAGCTTATAATATGACAAAACTAATTGAATTTGTATTGTGTAGATTTGAATTATTGACAGGAGTCATTTAACAAAACTGAATATTATGTGGCATTTAACAAAGTTCTGAATTAGATTTTTTTTTAACTTGAATATTAAACATTTGAAATTTAACACAACTGAATATTTTTATGGCAGAGTTTTGTAGACATGTATTTTCAAACGGAACATCAAATTCAATATTCTAAAATTCAATACGCAGAAATTCAGATCGTAGAGAAAATAGGTGTCACGGTTCACTGTTGGAAGGAGCACGAGGGAAACTTGGAGTACAATCAATAGTCTTTAATCCATAGAACACAGGGGAAATCCACACAATAGGCGCTAGAGCAAACACGTACATAAAAAATAAGAC